AGACAAAAAGTAGATTCAATATTTGCTGTTTCCTTGGAGGAAGAGCAGTGACTATGCAATGTGTAATAATAATGACCAGGAATTACATTTATTAATGTGTATAAGCTAATTAAAAAAAAAGTGGTGCCAGGTACCACAAGAGTAACAGAACTGTTCTGTTTTCTGGGATTCTGTTTTTTACTTTTTTAAAAAATGGAGTGTGCTGGATGTCTCTACAATTTTGTTCAAATGACTGCAGAACCTGGAAAAGCTGTTGCTGCTATTGATGCATAACATACTGCCCTTTTTGGTCATATATATATATATATAACACTGTATTAAATATGCAAGGTCTTAAAAGAAGAAGGGATTTTGAGAGCCCATCCCATGTGAAGGGATGCTCTCTTGACCTGGACACATGGGGAAGGGCCTGAGCCTGGCCCAGGATGATGTGGTAGACTTTGGGCAGCCCCTTTTGAGGGCCTTACCCTGCCTGGGGAGTGGAGGGGGATGCCTAGGGGCAGGTGGGATGTTGCAGGGGGGAGTAAGAGGGCGAAGGGATTGACATGTGAAGCAAGCTTGTTCCTAATTTGAACTAATAAAAGAATAAAATAAAAAAGGAAAAAAATACGTATACTTGTAAACTTGAAAATGGTAAATTTTATGTGAATTATGCTTCAGTTGTTTGAAAAACAGATGACCTTCATTTTTTAATTAAATACTTGAACTATCCTCTTGATCCAGATGATTTGTTTCATTCAACTTTTTACCCAAATTTCATAATTGAAGTGTATGTACACATATATGTACAATATCATATTATTGTATTAATATGTCATCAACTATGTGTACATACATATATTTATCCAGTAAGACTGGAGTGACAAAAACATGACTAGTGTTTCTTTACTTGTCCTGTCTCATCTGCATAATCTGTGAGTGTGTTACCATTGTCCTGACTCTTCAGAAAATAACCTAGAAGAGTGTTAATGCAGGCAGACAGGAAAGAGAAAAGCAATGAGGTCGGCATTAATAATAATCTCAACATTAGCTCACTGTGCCCTGAATAAATGATGCTGGCTAAGTTTCTGTTGGGTGTAAGGTACTCTCACACTGCTGGGTGTGCAGCTGCCTCTGATCACCATTTGTGGCTGTTGGTCTTCTCAACTTGCAGAAATGCCTGTGGCATGAAGCATGGTCTCTATCTAGGATGGGTAGAACTTGGAGGATGACAAGTCTAAATTAAGAACTCAGGACTTTAGGCTATTTGCTTTGCTGGGGCAGTACAGAAGTCCTGAGATTAAAAAAGGGTGATGAAGATAGCAGCTGGCCCATTCCCTGTCCATTCCTCTCATGCAAGCCCAATCACCACCCATGTGTACAAGGTTATCAAAAATCAAAGCAGTTGCTTGGCCTTGAGAATAATTCCTTCTTTGAAAATCAAACTTCTAATCTTGATAGTGCCCTCAACAATTCCAGATGTTTGGCCTGCAGTGCAGATGTTGTTGTAAATTATTAGACACTGCCTCTCAGCTTTCTCTTTTCTGGTCTGGTCCAGATCCATTTCTAGGTCAGATTTCTCTTGTCAGTTTCCCATTTCCATTTTAAAAAGCATCTTAATTTCTTCCTAGCCCACTAATTGTGGATTTTTTAAATTTATTTTATTTATAGTAAATGGCCCAAGGTACAGCTCTGCCAAAAGTAACATAGTGATACTTAGTGCTGGCTCAAGCTATACAGTCATCATGAGAAGGCTGATTAGGTTAAACACTTCAGGCCAGTGGTACTCATTCTTAGTTATATTCTGGAGGCTCCAAAATATATTGATACCTGGGTACCACTCCTATTTTTAATTAGAAACAAGCTTCTTTTACATGTCAGTCCCAGTTCCCTCTCACTCCCCTCCTCCCCTCCCCATCCCAACCTCTTTCTGCTACCCAGGGAGGGTGGGGCCTTCCATGTAGATCTTCAAAGTCTGTCTTATCATTTAGTGCAAGGCCTACACCCTCCCCTGTGTGTCTAGGCTGAGAGAGTATCTCTCCATGTGGCGAGGGCTCCCAAAGTCCATTCAGAGGCCCCATAGATTATGCAGACTTCCAAACTGACATCCTCACTTAGGGGGTCTGAAACAGTCCTATGCTGGTTTCCCAGCAATCAGTCTGGGGTCCATGAGCAACCCCTTGCTCAGGACAGTTGTCCCTATGGGTTTCTCCAGTCTGGTTCTGACCCCTTTGCTTATCACTCTTCCCTCTCTGCAACTGGATTCCAGAGTTCAGCTCAGTGTTTAACTGTGGTTCTCTGCTTCTGCTTCCATCAGCTACTGGATGAAGGCTCCAGGATGGTGTATAAGGTAGTCATCAATCTCATTATCGGAGAAGGGCATTTAAGGTAGCCTCTTAACTACTGCTTAGATTGTTAGTTGAGGTCAAACTTGTAGATCTCTGGACATTTCCCTAGTGCCAGAATTCTCTTTAAACCTATAATGTCTTTCACTATTCTGGTTTCTCTTTCTTGCTCTCCTCAATTCTTCCCCTGACTAAATCTTCTGCTCTCTCATGTCCTCATCTCCCTTCCAGTTCTCCCTCTCCCTTTCTTCTAGCTCCCTCTCCCCTTCCACCATGCTCCCAATTAGCTCAGGAGATCTTTTCCCTATCTCTGGAAGACCATGCATGTCTCTCTTAGGGTTCTCCTTGTTTCCTAGCTTCTCTGGCAGTGTGGATTGTAGGCTGGTACTCCTTTGCTCTATGTCTAAAATCCACATATGAGTGAGTACAGACAATTTTTGCCTTTTTGCGACTGGGTTACTGGGTACCATGCTTGAGTTTCTGATATAATTAGTCAAAGTATGATCTAAGCTTCTGGAACTTATACAGTTTATCCATTGATACTCAAGGAAAACTACTCTAAATAACTGTGGGTTTAAGGGTTCCTTTAGTTTTGACTTTGTGTATTGTTTAAATGTAAAGCATAATTAATAAAAGCGAATTCCTGTCCTTCTACAGACAGGCAACCCACCCATATTTTATTTTTTGGTAGGAGAATGAGACATAAAGGAGCAGAATGTAGGAGAATGGATCCTTTAAACATATCAGATTACATTATTTTTAACTTGAAATGGCTTTTCCTTTTACTCCCGAGAAATCCGAGGCCCTTTTAATGGGCAGTGACCTTATATAATCTGCCAACATAAACTTCATCTGCTATTTCTAGCCATAGGCTCTACTATTCTTCCCCTTACTGTATTTGCTTCAACCACAGTGGTCTCATTGCTATTCATCAAATTAAGCAGGGATATTTTCAGTGGAAGGACTTCATACCTTCTCAAGGCAGGAGTCTTCTGAATATATACATTTGACTGGTTCTCTCAACTTCTTTGGTGCTTTATTATTATTATATCATTTGTTGCATAGGGCTTTTCTGGCCACCATTTTAAAACTGGAATTCCCCTAATCCCCTTATCCCCCTCTTGTTTCATTATTCTTCATAGTACATGTGACCTTCTTTATATATTATGGTTTTCTTATTAACATATATCCCATTTATGACATCATTGTCCCTATTATTTTTACTACCTTATCCAAAATACTTAAAACAGTGCCTGTCCACACAGTTGTCACTAAATAAGTATTCATTTGAGCAAATGGCAAAAAAGAAATTCTACAGAGTAATAGTAACAACCTTATAGTTTTTAATGCCAATTAGTTCTATTGACCTTCACAATAATCTTAGGAGGGAGCTAAGACAGATTTTATCAAAACCAAATGAATGAGACTCAAAGAGAAAATATTCCCTTAAGTTAGTTTACTTGGTAAGAAAAAAAAAAGCCAAACTCTGCATATATTTTACATTTGTGTAACTGGGTCTTCTTGTGGCACTCCTAACAGTGGAAACAGGGGCGGTCCCTGGCTCTTTTCCTGGCTTTTGGGACCCTATTACTCATACTGGGTCACCTTGCCCAGCCTTAATACATGGGAAGGTGCTTAGTCTTACTGCAACTTGATATGCCATATTTTGTTGATATTCATGGGAGACCTGTCCTTTCCTGGACTGAGATGGAGGAGGAAGGGATTGGTGAGTGGAAGGGAGAAGTGTGAGAGGGGCTGGGAGGGAAGGATGGTGGATGGTGGGGGTGGGGCACTTTGGGTTGGATGTAAGACAAATAGATGAATAAATTCATTTAAAAAGAAAAAAAGAAAAAAAGAAACTAAGGCAAGACTCAAAGGTAACTTAGAGTGCATAAGTGCATCCATCATGCTTTCTAAGGCAATGTTTTATGAAAATAGTGACTGCATAACCTCCATTAATTATTTTTTCTTTTTGCAATATTTTCAGTGAACACAAAAAATTGTTTTGAAAATTAACTTGAGTTTTCTTTAAATAATAATTTTAAAAGGGTTACTAGGGAAGTTTTGGAAAATGCCTACACTCAAGATTAAATAAATCAAAACATCTGGTAGTTAAGAATCATTATACTAGGTAAATAGTGGGATAGACTTAGATGACTAAAGAAGGATGCCAGGAACAAGATGTTAAGGACACACATATTTAAAGTTAGAAAGGGGATAGCAGCCACCAACACACAACAGGAACCCAGGGGAAAATTAGACTCTGGTAACAGTAATGCATGATAAAATGTTACTAATTAAGGAGTGATTATTAGTGCCATATTTTGGTACAGGGATAGACAAAGGGGTTAAGATGTGTTAATTTGATTTTGATTTGTGTATTAGTAAATTGGTAGCCAGCAAAATAGCTTAGTGGGTAGGTAAATGTGCTTGTCATGAATGCCTCATGAACTCGATTTGAACCTTAGAACCCATATTTAAAAAGTAAATTATCTTTTATCCTTAAATTTGCTAAAATAGATTCCTGGGATAGAAATAATTAAGAGGCCATAGGTGTTTGTTATAGCTTTTGATTTGCTTCTTTTTCCATTTTCCTACTGGCTGAGGAAATTCATCTATTCATGGTAACAACTTCAGGGGGAAAAACGAACTGTATACAATTAAAGACTGACTGACCTGCTTCTTTTGTCCTTTATTCCAGTGCACAAAACAAGAGGAAATATCCCATCTGAGGTATGCAGAAGTATATAGTTCTTTTTCAAGGCAGTTGTCACTGTAGAGGTAGAAATAATAGTAAGGAAACTGGGCCACTTCTACCTATGCAAAGGCATATAGTAATCACATGAGTTAAATTTCAGAATGTGTGCCTGCACCCATAGCTACTGCACAAAAAGACACAAACTTCTCAAAAAGACTGTAAATTGAGCAGAAGAAAAGGCTAAACACATATATACCACACACACACACACACACACACACACACACACACACACACACACACACACACACACACACACTCACATAAAAGAATGAATGAAATTATTAAAGTCAATCAATTCTAGTCTGATTTTAAGGAGACCATATCCTTTGGATTTCTGCTGAAACAGTCATTCCAAGTAGAATCGAAGGCACAGAAACAACTTTGGACTCTGTTCAAGGGAAAGAATGAGACAATACATGTGAAAGTGCTCTGGAAATTCCAGACTGTGTTTCACATGAGAAGAGCTGCTAGGACTATTGTTACTATCCCACCCAGTGCAGAGAAAAAAAGGACATTGGAGATAAGTCACAGGTCACATTAATGTTGAGCCAATATTTAAGTCTGATTTGCTCCACTGTCACCCAAGTCTAAGGGTGTCACTGCTTTGTGAATTGACCACCCTAAGGAAGTATGAAATGATGCTATGAGCAATAATTAGTTACCTACCAGGAGAGTGCTTGAAGTGGAGATTCATTAGCTTCCCAAGGAAATTTGGCACAATGTCCAAGAAAGAAATTGAAATCATGATATGAGTTCTTTATGTGCATGGCTGGAAACTGGATGACTCTCCGAAAGTGTGTTCTAATTTCTGATTTCCCTTACTACTTTTTGGTCTTGCATCATATTATTTCTACTCTGTTCATATTATGAGGCAATCTAGAATAACTGTACCATCTTGAATCAGTCAGTTCTTTTTACCCAATAATAATCAAATATGACATTTATTCCTCTGAAGGCCAGGGAAAGAAATATACCTTCATAAACAGTGGGATAAAACAGTAGGTACATGTAATATCACCCAAGGTAAAAACCACACAATAATACTAGGAAAAATAACCCAGAGATTGAAGCCTATTCATAGAGAATTGTTGCCAAAGTTGTTCTATCCCCCGTTTAAAAGCCATGCCAATAAAATGGGAAGGAAGGGTCATTAAAGGTGAATGTAAGTAAGATTGTTATACTCTTATAAATATGTCACAAGGAAACTCACTGTATTGTACACCAACTAAAAAATTTTAAAGAAAATAAATATATGTGAAAAAAGTGTTCAAGGAGAGGAAGAAAGTATTGGATATGAAAGGGTTGGTATTATAGTAATATCTGGTAAAAATAAACCTATTATCACATATATAATTATGCTTTGTGAAATAGTTTTCAGAAATAATTTCAAATTTTGAGAATCTCACACAAAAGGTCAATTAGCCTCATCTTTTTAATTCTCAGAGGAAAATACCATCCGTCTCTATTTGAACCCCTTTAATAACAGGCAGCTCCGTCCTCACAAGACAATATGTTTTCATTATTTTTTTCTTCATTTTGACAACTGCTTACTATTTAAGATAAAATTAATTATGACTATATAGGCATGAAATCTGACATGAATGTATCAAGGTAACCTCAACCTTTATGATGCAAGTAGGAAAACTGGAGCTACAAGGAAAAAACAGCAATTTTCCTGAAATGTACATAGTTTGTTAAGACTATAATCTAAGTCTCTGCTCAGAGTCTAGTGCCTTGTCTATTTCCCAAGCACAAAAAGGCAGGGCATTTTCAGGACTGACTGCTAACTTCTTTTTTCTTCACAGCATAGTATTGGCTCTGTAATCTCTCAAAAAAAAAAAAAAAAAACTACCAAAGGGTAGAGTAGGTCAGGGAAAGGCGGCGGCTCATGGAAGGGAAGTAGTACTGCCCACTCTTTTTGGCTTATTCACAATAGTGACTAACAGCCTCCAGGTAATAATGACATCTTACTGTTTGATTCCATCATATACTACATGGAAACCACTTTACTTTTCAGAATTGTTTGCTATTTTTTGAGGATCCATATAGAATATCTGTAAATTCTGTAGAATAGATGGTTATTTACTAAAAATTCAGCTGATAATTGTTTCTACACTAGGCATTCTTTTGAGACTTAGTCACAAAAGAGAAAATTGAATCAGAATTAAGAAGGCTAATTATGTGTAAGAGAGCATGTCCAAAGAAACACTGAAAAAATATTTAGTTAATTCTAATCTAGACAGACTAGAGCCATCCTCACATCTCTAATATGTATCTAATAATAATGGTCCTTTTAGTATATAAACTGATGATAAACCTAGCTAGTGCTCTCCCCAGTAAGCAACTTAGGGGATAATATATGGGTAGGGATAATCTCCTAAAGGAAGCAGAGAAAAAATAACTTCTGCTTCAAAAGCTTCAGCTCTGAATAATGACTTATGCTTTACTCCCTGCAGAAGGCATTCAGGTGGAACAGATCAAAAAGACATCTAACTAAAGGAAGGCTCCTTGGCCTGCCTTAGGTTTCTAGGCCCAGGTATCATTTGCTTTTCTTTTGGGTCTAGGGGCTTTTTCCTCCCTGGTTTCTTTTACTGAAAATTTTCAAAAAGAAAGTAACTGGTACAAGGCAATTGAATGATTATTTTCCTCTCTTCAGCTCTAGTTCAAGAATTAACCTATCTAGCCATCATCTTATACACAAAGCAGCTGTAGAAAATGAAGGAAAAGTGAATTAGAAAAAAAACACTGTGACTTGCAGTTATGGCTCACACAGAGAGAGACCAAATGTTTTCCAGCAGGTTCCCTGAGCATTCTCTAGTGAAGAAAGAGTACAATTAAAGAATTGAAAGGAATAACACATTATAAAGAAGTTTGCCACATTTTCCCATCATGCTTCTTGTGCAGTTATTGCCATCTTTCTGGAGGTGTTACCACTCCATTTTATATAATTCAAAACCTCAGACTCATATTTTAACTAATAGCATGCCACAGGATAAATGGAAGAAACCCAGCTGATTTACCAGGGAACAGAAGATGGAGGGAAATTTGGTCTCTAATCTTCAGATCTCTGAACTTTCAAAAGAGAGAAAGAGGTGTCCGTAAGTAGCTCCAAAAAGCACCACTAGAACATCTGAGTACAAGTCAGAGGCATAAGAAATGCAGCTGAACAGAAGAAAACACTTTCAAGAATCAAGGATTTCCCCCCAGACAGATAATGGATTCTTTCAGAGAACAGTGAAGACTTTTCCTCTACAAGTGTTGTCAGAGATGAGACGGATGTTTAAAGGTGAAGTCAAGTGTTATAAAAGAAACATATGACTCATAAAAGCCTACTAGTCATCAGCCTTGGGCTAGGACCTTTACAAGATTATCACTTTTTAATCCTTCCAACAAGTGGGAACTATTTCCCATTTTTCAAGAAAACAGAAACTCAGGGAAGTTTTAATTTTCTCACTGGGATTACTCATGGTTCTATAGGTGGGTGGAAGAAACATCTCTTTGCTGTATAAAAACACTTAGTGCTGATTCAGAATGGAAATATTGAGAATACTATGCATGTAAAAGCCCTGGGCAATTTATGGGGCCTCTAGTAGTGGATCAGTGTTTATCCCTAGTGTATGAATGGACTTTGGGAGCCCATTCCACATAAAGGAACTCTCTTAACCTAGACACACAGTGGAGGCCCTAGGCCCTGCTCCAAATGATATGACAGACTTTGAAGATTCCCCCATGGAAGGCCTCACCCTCCCTAGGGAGCAGAAAGGGGATGGGATAGGGGTAGTGGGGGCCAGGGGAGGAGGGGAGGGAGAGGGAACTGTTATTGACATGTAAAACAAGCCGGTTTTTTTTTTTTTGGTTTTTCGAGACAGAGTTTCTCTGTGTAGCTTTGGAGCCTATCCTGGCATTCGCTCTGGAGACCAGGCTGGCCTCGAACTCACAGAGATCCGCCTGCCTCTGCCTCCAGAGGGCTGGGATTAAAGGCGTGCACCACCAACGCCTGGCAACAGGCGAGTTTCTAATTTAAATAAAGAAGGAAAAAAAGATTTCAAACAACAGATTCCAATTTGCACTATATAGAGAAGTAGGATGAAAATGTGCACTCTTTCAAAGTATAAGCTAACCCTAAGAGATAAACTCCATGCTTCCTTTTCTAATGCCATGTAATTCAACAGCTTCAAATTTCTGATGAAGCAAAGTTTGTGTGACATGATAAATACATTGCATTCTTTCTCTTCTCATAGCCAGCACATCAGGTTTAGGGCTTTGTGTACTTTTCATTTGTTCACTTTTGTGTTTTCTCATTCCTGTCCATCTGATTCACATTTACCTAATTATTCTTGCTAAAATACAGATCTGACTTTTTCTTCAATTCAGAAACCAACAGTGGCTGTACAATGATCTGCCAAATAAACAGAAACTCAAGTATCCTAAGTCTTGTGTAGTATCCTACCAATCTAACTTAAACTTTTTCCTAATTGCATTAAAGCATCCAATTCAACTGTTCTTCTTTTCACATATTCTGAGTTCCTTGCCATCGTGCAGTTGTTCATGTTTTCTGTACTTAAAATGCCTTCTCACTCTTTTCCACCTGTTGAAATCCTATCTGTGCTACATAATCTAATCTTAAATAATAATGGTTAATATTTATTGAGTGCTTATTTTGAACTGTGCTAAACAAGTATTTTACATGGAATAATTCAGTTCATCCTCACAATTACTCGATGATGTTGGTACTGTAGTAAAAGGAACTTTAAAGAGGAAAAAATGGCTCCTTTTGACCAAGGTCACACAGTTGCTATTGGTGGAATGCGATTTGTATACAAATACTTTTGTTCTCTAGCACCCAAAGGTGTTAGGGTTTAAAAACAGTCAGCTAGGCATAATGAACACATACCTGTACTTAAGCATTTAGGAGTTGGAGCAGCAGGATCAGGAATTAAAGAGCCTTGTCTGTAATTAAAGAGTTTCATTCAGTCCAGCCTTATCTACATGGGAACCTATCAGGGCCTAAGGATACCAGGGGCAAGTCTTGCTCAAAACAAAACACTCAAAAGCTATCAGAAGAAAAGAAGAGAAAAGAAAAGGAAAGAAAAGAAAAGAAAAGAAAAGAAAAGAAAAAAAGAAAAGAACTCACGTTTTTCTCTGGCTCTAGTTGATATGATACTTACTTGACAACTTCAGAGCATTTTGACTGAACTTTTAAAGTTCATCTTGTACATTATTATTGGTGTCCCTACACTCAGGATGAGTCTATTAAGATCTAGGGGATTTATCCTCTATATCGTAGACAGCTTAGTACTTCAAACTTGGTGATGGGAGGGTAAATATTCAGTATGTGTCTTATGTTAGATTAAGTGTATAGCAAGACATAGGGGACAGGAGAGTTACCTAGACAGAGAGCTCCACAATTTACTACCTCCCATTGTCCTACAGGACATTGGTCAATGCTACCAAAAGCTGTCAAAATGAGATCCTACAGCCTGTTTTCCCAGCCTAGTCTCTGGCAGGCCTCTTCTCCTCCCTGCACCCAGCCAGTTCTTGCAGCTGTCTGGGCTTTGGCCAGCGTTTGGGGTGAGGCCGGATCAAAATATCACTGTCCTGGGCTCAGCTTCCAGCAGCAAGTGATCAAATGAAACTCAGTCACTGGTGACAAGGCTGGACTGAAAGCCCCCATACACAGTGCCAAATTGCTCTTTACACAGGCCCGGACTTGCCCGAGCACCACGTGGGTGGGCTAGTAGTTCAGCTTTCTGCAGGATGCTCTGAATGTCCAATCCATCCCCTCCTCCTCTCGCTTCCTTATCTCTGGATCCCAGATGCACAAGCTTGTTGGACAAGTCCGGGCATATTCCCAGCGGCCGTCTGGCTCCAGTTCGAACCTGTACAGGCAGGAACTGACTAGTCAAGGCTGCAGGGATAACAGCCTAAGTTTCTGACATCCCAAAGAGTGCTGTCAGGACACAAAGATGAAATGACTGATAGCCACAGAATACTGTCCCCCAAGCCATGCTGACTTTCCAGCACCCTTACAGGGGTATCTGATATAGTCCTCTATTTCCCGTACCTATGTGCCACAAGTTCCAACTGATTTACCACATGAAGGAGTGTTCCCACACTTTCCCTGTCAAAATCAATGGATGGATCATACAACTGGATTCCCTGAACAAAAACATTTGAGTACAGAAGAGACACCCTGCCCAGTAGCCGCCCCTTAGCCCCCAACCTGCATACCGCTCTCAGAATAGGCGAAATCCGTTGCAAGCAGTGTTCTGCTGGACTCATTTCACTTTCACGTGTGGCAACAACAGATCAAATCCATCCTCTGTTTCTTTCATGTTATGCCTATCCCCCCTCCTCTCCTCTGTGAGGCATGGGGGACGACTATTGGACTACTTGATGTGTTTGGGAGTGGTTATGCAAATAAACCCCGCCCCTGAGAGGACACTGTGAGTCTGGAGGGTAAAGAATGGCCAAGCCACAAGTATGGCAAGAGTTATTAAAGCTCCAGGAACTGAAGCTGGGACGAGAGGGGGAAGGGCCTAGAGTTGGATCTAGCTGAATCTGTGGGGAGGAAGGGAGGAGGCAGCTAAATGCAGCTCAGTTTTTCAAAGTTCTGTGCCTGACTTAGCAGGCTTGGAGTTCCAGAGAAAATCAAATGTTGGGAAATTTAGTATTCTCACGCACAAGGAAAAGCCACTTCCCAGCTCTGACTCTGCAGTTTTATATTAGTACCTTTCAGAAGATTAAGATTTTTTAACATGAAACATGAAAGCTGGGGAAAGACCACTAAAAATGAAGAAAAAATGAATTCTACACTTCACTCTGACTTTAAGCCATCCTGTTACCTCTGATGGGTCTCTTGGTCTCTCACTGCACAGACATATATGGCACACACACACACACACACACACACACACACACACACACACACCATATTACAAATAATAATAAACTATTTTCAAGGATGGTTTTCTTCTAGTATTCTTGTGCTTTCACAGGACACTGCAGGAGCTATCCTGGAATGCATTAGAGATAGGAAGAAGTGGAAGCTCAAGACAAGGTATAGAGGAGAGAATGTGCCTTGACCAAACTGAAACACCTCACCTGACCTGGACAGAGGCCAGAATCAAGTCTCAGAAGCTGAAAATCCTTTGGAGGAAAAGAGCAGAATTGAATTAAAATAATGACTAGAATTTAGTTGACACAAGTGTATAATGGATATAAATAAATAAATAGCTAGATAGACAGATAAATAAATAACTATATCTTGGTCATCATAGAAATGACTTTGTGTTACTAGCATAAGCTAAATCTCCACAGACCAGAAAACAACAGGGGCAACCAACCATGAACTGAAACCTCCAAAACTGTGAGCCCAAACAATCCTGTCTTCTTCAAAAGCTGATCGTTATTGCTGTGGAATGCTAGGTAAAGCAAAAATGAGCAGCTAATGTTGCTTATCTTCACTGAGATTAAAATGAACATCGTTACCCAATACTGCTAATTTTGTTCCAAGTAAAGAGGAGGGATCAATAAAGCAACAATCTGCCTTTTCTTTCAGAGCAGGCAACTTTTTCTAAAAGAGAGGCACTTTGATTTTCTCCATCTTCTTCAAACGTTTGTGTCTGAGCTAGCTGAGTTTAGAGACACCATTGTAATTAAAATCATCCTGTTTTGGGAATTAGGACCCTGACCAAAAATCACATAATCTTTCTCAGTCTCACTTTTGGCACTTGAAACTTGAACAGATTCTTAGCCTTGATGGTCTTGAAATTTTAAACTGGTTCTTCTTACATGCTTGTGTACACATGCAGTTTCTGATAAAACACATATTTTTAGTATCACTAGTTTGAGGCTGAGCCTGACTTTCAAACAGGATGCCCATTTGATACAGCAACAATTTGATACAACTAACAATTGCTTCTTAGTCACAGACAATACATTAGATATCAAAGGTCTAGATTGTGAAGAGAAGCAACATTAGCTGCTCATCTTTGCTTTACCTAGCATTCCACAGCAATAACGATCAGCTTTTGAAGAAGACAGGATTGTTTGGGCTCACAGTTTTGGAGGTTTCAGTTCATGGTTGGTTGCCCCTGTTGTTTTCTGGTCTGTGGAGATTTAGCTTATGCTAGTAACACAAAGTCATTTCTATGATGACCAGAATCCAAAAGAGAGCCTTATCAAATGGTCTGGGTCTCACCATCTCCTTCACACAAGACCCCTAGTTACCAAAATATCTCTCACTAGACCTCATCTCTTAAATGCTCTAGCATTTTCTAAAAGTACAATGTACTATTGTACAAGCCATAGACAAATAGACCCTTGCAAGACATTTCAGATTTAAACTAAAGCAATCAGTAATCTTGTAAATTGTGTTTTTGTCATCAATGATTGTCTTTGAAGTAAGGTTTACTGTTTACATTTTACAGCTGAAGTGAATCCTAGTACTCCATGATCATATCTGGAAGAAACCTGAGAGAAAAGTTGCAGAAAAGCTTCAGAGTGCATAAGTTATTGCTGAATTATTTGGAAAATATCTCTAAGCAACTCCGTCTCTTCCCATAACTTATACAATAGTAGAATAATTGTTGGTCTTCACTGAGAACACTTGACAGGAATTCTTTCGGATATCTTAATTGGTTAGATTAATATATTTGTCCTAGCAACAACCGGTGAGACCAAAAATAATGGAATAATCCTTGCCTCTACTTTTTTTTAAACATTGTATATAGTTCTGTCTCTAAAATACATCCTAAATTCTATAACTCAGCACCTTTACTTCAGCTGTTCTGGTAGCCATCCAATCTAGTCAATTCTTTGCTTAGCAACCAGAGTGACTGACCCTTTAAAATATTAATAAATCCAAGTATTTTCAAACCAATTAATGAATTGTCTTATTCAGAGTAAAAACCAAATGTATTAATTATGGTTTTTTAATAATTTATATTCTACTCTACTCCCTCTGACTGCCAACAACTTGTCATATATATTTGATCTCATCTCCCAATAATCTCCTTCATCACTGTGCTCAATGATTTCAGTACCCTTGTTTTATTTCTCTTAATATCTGACATGCTAAAGCCTGGTCTTTGGTTGTGGTTTCATAGCTGAGAAATTTCTTCCCCAGCCATCAACATGGTCCTATTCCCAGCCATCATTATGACTTCATCCATCACTTCTTTAGCTCTCCATTCAAATGTTTTGAGAAAGAATTTTCAATACTACCCTAATATAAGAAATTGCTCCTGAATTTTGGACTCCAATGACTAAATGAACTTTTCATCATCACCAGTTTCAAGTACCTGAGGAACAGTGTGGTATTGATCTAGAGTAAGGCTCTCAATTATTTCTTCTATATGGAATCTACTTTTGTCACATGGGCAATGAAAACTGAGTTGGCTCACTTCATTTCTTGAGACTGCTCCAAGTCCTCTTCTTGTTATGGGCAGAAGTTATGTCATGAGACCTAGTTGAAGCATTTATCTGATTATACGTCACTGATAGAACCTGCCTTACATACCTAACTGGAAGAAAGATAGACAAGTCCAGCCTCCCCTAAGAATATCTACGCTTGCAGAGAGGTTTCTCTTGGGTCAGAGAGAAAGAGAGATTTGGGGCTCTCTAATGCCAACCTTCAGCTATTCCTCAGACCACTTAGGAATAGTGGCCTTAGTGCGTTCTTAAAGAACATAGGCTACCATCTAATTCAAGGGTGAAATATAGACCCAATGACTTATTCTAATGGAAAAGAATGTCTCTCCATTTAGACTAAAGCTCTTCCAATCTGTAAAGACTGAAAAGTGCAAATGAAAGCACAAGTTGATTAATCACAGGATGGCAAGAGCTATAGTGCTGACCCTTTGAACTCTAGTATGACTACCAGCATCCCTAATTACACAATCAGTTTCTTAAGTTTGTTAATCAACATGCGCAATTCTCAAAAGTAATTTGGTCATAGCTGTCTCGTGTAATGGCTTGGGTTTTTTGGATTAGAAAGCTAGGTTATAAGAAAGTTACTTTTATCTGTGCACTTTTTCGAACTTCAGCTGAGTTCTAGCATAGTTAATTAGTATTTTCCCTCATCCTGAATCATGTTTCTTTTCATTTGCCAAAAATGACTATTTTAAGTTCAATCCTATTAGTCAAGACTCAAATGCTACTCTAAAATGCCTAACTGATCACTTCCCTTTCCAAAGAATATAAAAGATCAGTGACTTATCCTTCCTTAAGCTTGTCCCTCTCCCTTATTGAAGAACTTCTTTCTGTCTCAGAATGATCTACCAGCATCCATTCCTATTGTCTGCTGTGTATTACTTTCATGGATCTTTGTAGTCATTTCCCTTCACATGCTTCTGCTGCCTTCCTCTTTCTACTTTAAGCCAATTCTGAAAAAGATTTATCATGCTAATTGTTTTTTTGTTGTTGTTGTTTTGGTTTGGTTTTTCGAGACAGGGTTCCTCTGCGGCTTTGGAGGCTGTCCTGGAACTAACTCTTGTAGACCAGGCAGGTCCTGAACTCACAGAGTGCTGTGATTAAAGGCGTGGACCAACACCACCTGGGTCTAATTGGTTTTATATGATCATTTTACTTCTTCATTTCTTTTTGTTTGTAGTTTTGATTTTTTTTTTTTGAGACAGGGTCTTGTTATATAGCCTGACCAAAACAGGAATATATGACCCTCTAACCACACCATCTCTAAAGCAGGCTTTAAAGATATAAGCCACTGTATCTTGCTCAACCTCTTCATTTCTGAACTGACTCCATTCTGCTTTCATGAAGGCCACTCATGGGTTCATTGTTGTCAAACTGAGACTCTTACTGCCTTTTCATTTGAGTTCCTTTGAACTTCCAGAATTATTGAGTTCTGTTTTTTCCTGACTCTTGCCTTGACTTATATAGAAATTATGGCTCTTGCTTTCATTCCTTCCTTTATGCTTTTCCCTAAATTCTTCTTTTCTACTTAACACACAAATGTTGGAATGTCCAAATTTCCTCCATTGATCCTCTTACCTGACTTTAATTTGTCTCAGTGGAGTGTGAACCTGTGTGTCAAGAACCTACTATGTCATTTCACTAAATTCCAGATGCAAAATAGCACCCAGAGCATATATTTTGGCCAATTTGATTATATCTATTGGTATGTATTTAATAAATTAATTAGCACATGACTTGGTGGGAAGATCATAGGATAAAAAATCAAATTGTGCTTAAATTTATCCTTAAAACTTCCAGGCCTCATGGTGACCACCACACAAGATTTTCAATCCCTCCTCAACTGAACAAAAGCAAACATTGGAAACACATAATAAATAGTAGTGACAGCTAAAATGTCATTATCACTTCAT